AATAGATTGTTCAGTCTAGGTACCTCGTCTGTTATTAGTTCTGGGTTTCTAAATATTTAACGCGGTCGATGTAAGTAGCTAAACGCTTATTGAGGTTCTGCAACTTATGCTTCTCCTGGATGCGACTTAATCTGTTTGGATTTAGAGTCACGGTCTGTCTGCTTTGCTCACTTGCCGTAGAATCATCGAGCTGCGGCGTGTCAGTCGCGCGACTAGTAGACGCAGTAGGCGCGTCGTTCCTTGATGGTATCTGATGACTGGTGACACAGTCATTGGCTTAATAAATTCTTCAATAAATTCTAATACCTAAAAAGCAAGAAAAATAATTTAAAATCTATATATATATATATTTTTTTGAAGCATTTTAATTAAACCTCCCGGCCTCCCTAAATAGGCTTTTGAAAATACGTAATATACAATTTTGAGTATAATATTTTTTTATTCTAACTGGTCACCGCTCCTGTTAGGCCAACGCCAAATGCAATTAGTCCGTTCATAATACTTGAATTACAGAAAATACTTGAAAAACTAAAGAATTACAGATTTTAATAAGCCATACCAATGACTGCGTACAACTATACAAATAACTGTAAAATCAATAAAATATAGGGGCTCAATGTGTTTAAAAAAGGTGTTAGAAATTGAAACAAGACAGTGACAAAGTTTACTAATTATCAAATTATTTAGTGCATTAAAAAAAAAATTGTGGTTAAATTTCAATTTTGGCACGAGTAAAAATACGACAAATTTAACGCAATATAGCATGTCAATTTTTTTATACGATATAAATAAAAAATAAAAGCTGGTAGTACTTGGTTAGGTATGTTGAAAGCCATACCGTCCAATACGCGCTTATTAATTTGCTTGATTGATGTTTTCGCCTATAAAAAACAAGTGTTGTACACATCCGGTCGTTTATGTCGAAACACATACAACCGTTGTATGCACGCAACAAAAGCTACCAAATCAACATTAGTGCAATTGACTTGGACTTATGAATTGGGAGTCAATGTTATACTTACAATTACGGTCGTAAGTACCAGAAAAGCGCCAAGTTAATCAATAGACATTGTATTGTTATTATAACTATTCGCCATACAGCCTCTGACCAGACCGCAGTCTTATCCAAATGGACCAAATGGTATTAATGTTATAATCTTTCGTCTCTTCAGCTGTAAAAACCTGGAAGCCATAAAATTCTATAAACTCGATATATGTACTTGATTAAAGTTAAAAGTTGTTTCATAATATCGAAATTCTAATAGTAACAATAATACCGCCATTGTAATAAAGGCTAGCAGTATAATATATACGATACACAATATAATTATTATACAAATATTACAACTATAAAACTTACTGAAGTTAATAGAAAATACAAAATTAACAGTAATTTAATTAATATCGTTGTATCTTTTTTAATTTTTATCATTATATAATGAATGTACATTTTACAAATTTCTATCATTATATAAGTATTAAGTATTATTTTAACGTTATATTGTAGAAAATATAAACTACCAGCTATTATGTAATATTAGTTAATCCGTTAATCCGATGGAATATTCAACAGGCCCACATCGATAAGAATTTAGTAAATGAAAATAACAAACTGTAATAAACATAACAAGTGGCGAGTTTGTGAGTAGTTTGAACTTTCTAAACAAAACAATACACAAAATCGGTTGTTTTTAAAATTCAACAAATTTTTTTGAAATCTAAAATAAACGATTTTAAATAAATCGCTCTTAAGTTCAATGATCAGATTCGCTAGTGGTATGAATGAACTTCCGTGCTTAAAGCAAGTTGTTACTTTCAATACGATGTATTGGATCACTATTACTATCGTCAAAACTTCCATTAGAAAAACTTTCAGAATCATATTCTAATGTACCTATCCATGTATTAATATTAATTATATATTTAATTATATTACATAATGAATGTACATTTTACAAATTTCTATATTTATACAAGTATTATTATAACGTAATATTGTAGAAAATATAAACTACCAGCTATTTATTATACAAGTTTTCGATTTATTTCCTTTTTCTGTTACATCTCCAATTTGAAATTTCAGTCCACTAAAGGACGGGGTGGTTTTTGCCCCCGTGTGAAATAACCTTGGAGACCTTTCTTCATTAATTTGTATTTTAATGTTATGGTATCTTTTTTTTGTTACTGTCCTGAAACAAACAAATACATTTAAGTTTTAATAATAATTATATACAGGTGAAATTTACTTTTTAACCCCAGACTTGTATTTTATGACAAAAATAAAACTAATAGACAGTGGTTAATATATATTCTGAAAAGAAAAAAACATTTTTTTGTTCATGTTGTTTAGCATTTAGTGACTCTGCTGAAAACAGCTTATTTGTTAGCTGTATGTATGATTTAAGTGTAAAACATATTTATACAAGAATCAAGCAACATGAGATAAGTCGTTATCATTTGAGCAATGTTGAAGCATATATGTTAAATTATAAAAGAGTTGATATTGAAAATCAAATTTTCAGCATAATACTCTTAATTTAAAAAGTTGAGATAATATATGTATGTTTAAGTTATTGACATTTTATAAAATAATAGATGTCCGTGAATTTTTATAATTACTAAAATTTTGGGATATGGTTAGTTCAAAAAAATGTATTTCAACACTTCTATGCTATTTATTATAGATTTTTAAATAAATGCAATAAACTAAAAAAAAATTCTTAACAATATTCACTAGAACAATAGTTATTTAATTTGTCAGATCATCGTGTTACACCCTGTATATGTATATTTATTATTCATTTTTAAATTATTACTTATAAGGAGTTGGAAAACGAAATCATTTGTTTTGAAAATTGGAATAGGTCTTCTTGCGTACATAATTTAATATAAATTATTTGTAACCATAAAATAAAGCCAAATAATTTCTTTTAAACAAATTACTTGTAACCCCTTTGTTTCGCACCACTTTCATTATTATTTAAATAAATTAATTTTAATAATTCTTACTACTAAATAACGTTGGTACAGCACTCATTGTTAGTCTGTTCCTTATGTGTGGATTTAGAAACATGTGGTCTTCGAAATGTACTCCACATACCTGATAACTTTTTGACAAAATCTAGAATCTTTATGGTAGAGGTGTGTCGCTTGACAACTCTCTGACTATTTTTTACACCTTTTACAGTAAATTATTGTATAAATATATATAAGTTGAAAATTAAAAGATCAATTTGACCTTTGCGGATCAGTTGGAAATCTAAAATAGCACAAACAAATAACAATTATTACACAAAAATGACTGGTAGCGTTTAAAATGTATAAAAGTAACTAAAAATCTAGCTATTTCTGGGGACAAACTATTTTATTTGTCAAGCTAGATGTAAGCATTCTGTGTTCCATGTACCATCCCTACCACAGGTACAGATAAATTATTTTTGTATGTACCCTAGATAGTGCAGTGTCTATTATATCATAGCTAAATGTGTTACAACAGAGGAAGCGCCAGTAAACCAGTTTGGTTTTTAGTTTCAAAAGTCGATAGAGCTCCGGAAAATACAAAAAAAGTTAATAATATAAAATAAAAGTGTTTTTCTTTATCTACATATTTTGATGTTTTTAAACAACGTTTGTGTTAGGCAAATACAAATCAAAATTATTTGATTATTTCGAAGCAAGCTAGCCTACAAATTCAAATACAAAAATATGTTTTAATAATTTTAATTTTTTTTGGTCAGAATAATAATGCCAACCAAAAGATCACCTTGTATAAACTACAGTGTGATTCATTTGATGTAAGACATTCATTTTCTCAGAAAATTAATTCCTTTAAAACTGTCAAAAAAATGTTAGTAATTGAAAATGTATTGTTCATCAATCTTCAAGTGTTTTTTTTTTATTCATTCATTTTCATTCACATTCCGACATAAAATTAATTCATTCCCATTCCTCATTCATTAAAACTAAGTGTAATGCATTTCTCTAAAAAGGAATGAAATCCAATAAATGCATTCTTTCCAACACTGATGTATATATATATATATATATATATATATATATATATATCAGTGTTTAATAATGAAATGTTTTTGACATAATGATAGAGTGTTATCGACGGGGTCAATATTATCACTTATGTAAAATTTATTATTTTTCTAACATTTAATATTATGGTAAATACAAGTTCGGTAATTTCGTTCCGACTGACATGGTCACACTGGTTTTGGTGGAGTGCTTATCAGCTCATTTTTTGTTTACAACGAGAGTGAACCATCTGTTTCCAAATAATCTGTGATATTACTTTGGCAACAGTCGCGGTGTCCCATCTGTGTCGGCTACTGATAAGCTATAGAGTCGCGTGATCCTTGTGTGATTAGTGATAACCGATAACGTATACGCGGTGTTTAGGTTAGATGAAATTTGTTTTTTTTAATATTAAGTACCTTAGTTGTAAGTCGTTTCTCCAGTCCGTTAAAATCTGTATAGTGATTAACGGATACTGATTAAGTGATCTACACACTATCATTGATCGAGCACCGTACTGCGTCCGTGATCACATGATTTATTTTTTTCAACGATTTCATTTTTACATCACATTCCAGTGGATGGATTCGTTTTCCATATTTTCAAGTGTTTAATATTTAAATATTTAATAATACTTAAACAACAAAAAAACAGTTTTTTACCACAAAGGTCGTTCGTCTTTATTATATTCTCAATTATTGGTAAGCACCGTTAACATCATAATATTTACATTATTATTTCCTATTAAAAATTTATGTCTATAGCGCATTCGTTTTGGTTTCTCGATTAGTAATTAATTATTATAAATAACGTTTGGACGACAGCTGACTCAATGTGTGTGTTTCTACGATGCAGGTTGTGAGTCGTGACTGATGGGTGACGATAATAACAGCTCAGAGAATAAAAACGAAGATACAAATAGTGTGCCTACGAGAGGGCATTTGGATAGTTTTCATCCAAATTGCAATAGTTCGAAACAGCTGTACGACGAGTGTTTCCGCAATTGGTTCGCCAATAGTTACATGACTGGGAAATCTAGCAAAAAAGGAGATCACGAAGAATGTCAACAGTTGTATGAAGAATACACGGATTGCGTTAAGGTGAATTATTAAATTATTTAGTGTTTTACTTAACTGAACAAGTTTACATCATACTAAGTTGTTCTGAAACCAGAAATCTGCATACCCGCTGGTTCAATAGATGTGTCTACTTGAAATTTTGAAATGGATATATTTATATAATATATTATACATATAATCAAATAAAATAAAAATAATTAATTATAAATAAAATGTGTATCAGCAAGATGTAAAGAACCGTAATTGTGTTATCACAAACATAAACGACCAGAATAGGCGAGTGAAGGTTGCTTCCACGCGGTAAATTATTTTGAGTTTCCTTTGCCCCTCACCTTCGCAGCAACCTAAATTTACCAAGGCATTAGTTATTAAAAAAATTAAAACGCAACAGTACTTCTATCATAAGCAAAATCATTAAGCATATTTTTCTGCAAATTTCTGTCGCAAATTCATTACAATTTTAAATGATAGATGAAAATTGAAAAGTAAAGTTTTAAAAATTACAATTTTGGTTTTTTTAAAACACAAATTTGTTGTCCCTTAAATTTTGCTGTCCAGGACTATGGCCTTAGGGTAAATGCGTCCTTGCTTTCTTTGCGGTGTCTGATCCCCGACGATAACCCTCGAGGTTATTTTGCGTTTTTTAATTTTTTAGCTAGTTACGTGAGCAGATTTGTATTAAAGCGCACACTTAACACCGTACGATAATTGTTTCAGAGAGGCATGCGAGAATATGGACTGCAGTATGAACAAATTGCTGTGTTCCATTTAAATAAAGATAGTAAAACCAAACCAAAAGCCAATACAAATTAGTACAAAACCATAACGATGAGTGATTGCAAAGGAAACGACAACAGAAGCAGTCACAAAGATAACGCGAAAGAAGATGACAGTCCAAGCAATTGTAGTCCACCAACAAAGTCGTTGGACGAATACGACAACTTGTTGGAAGTAGAAAAAAATTTGGACGACCAATTAAAAGAATTACAATCAAAACAGATTGAAAGGCAACAAGTCATGAACGCTCTTCACGAGTACAACGACCTAAAGGACGCAGCTCAGATTGTGTTGGGCAGGTTGGCTTGTTTGGAAGGTACGACCGTCGCTCACATTCATCGTCAATACGGCATTGAAGACGACGAGTAATACATACACTTTGTTATTACGTTGTCTTGATAGAGCTAAAAATTGTTATACTTTTGTAAAAAAAAAATACTTAAAAATATTATATTCTTTCCCTAGATATTTTTTAATGAATATTATTCCTTTTTATTTTATTAAATCTATTTCTAATAGACTGTTTACAATGTGTTCTAATCATTTAATTATAACCAATCGTTATTTAGTTTAAACTTTAAAGTAATTGTTTTCTATGTAGCGCTATTAAAAAAAAAAAATAATGATATAATTAAATTTAGTTGATTGTTTTTTGACAATCTAAATTTCATATTACGATATTTCAATTAATTAAATATTGATTTTCTTTAGAACGAACGTGAAACTATATAAAAAAAATTATTGCGACAAGCTAATAAAATTGAAATCAGTTAACTATAATAAGTTATTTTTCTTTAACTCAAAGCTTAATCGAATACATTTTTTTTAGTTAATTTTGCAAAGTACAAAAGACTTTTTAATTTTTAAAAATAGTTATTTAACACCACATTGTCAGTCGAATTTTTCTGTTCAACTAGTATTTAGTAGAATAACTTTTACTATTATAAATGATTACCACTCAAATTTTTTACTGATTATGACATACTTAAGAGATTAAAACATAAGTATGAAGTACATAATTATTTTTTGTTAAGCCAATATGGTGGATAATGTAGATACTTAAAACGTTACCTTGTTTAAGGATTTAAAGAAAAAAACATTGAATTAAAGCAACATTTTTATTAGGTTATTTTGTACACACTGGGCTAATGTATATTTTATGTCACTATATAATAATTATTATTATTTATCATGAAAATACACTTGAAGAATAAGTTAATTAGAAACGAGGTTTAAATGTAGAAGAAATCAATTGAATCGCGTTTAATTTACAAGTAGATCTAAGTGTCTATTGAAAAACACAAGTAATTGAAAAAGATAGCACACATAACGTGTCGTCACCGAGAGGACGTTATATTATAATATTAATTGATAGTTATTATGATAATTGATTTTAATTAATAATTAATTGGTTAAGTGAAATAGTAAATTTTCGAATACAATCATAATTTATAGTTTTAAATTAATTTGTATAGGTACATTTATTAGTGCAATAAAAAAAAACTTAACTTAAGTCCAATATCATATTATTCTATTACAAGTTGCCTTTGTCGCATTCAGTTTCATAAAAACAAGCTTAGTTCTTTTAAACCTATATTACCTATTATGAATCTAACTACATTAAATGATTAATGAGGTATAATACTCTGAAACCTTTAACCAAAAAATATTAATTAGAAAAGCGAATTAAAGAAAAAGTTTCCTCCCTTTCTGGGGGAAATGGCTTAGGATATTTTGTATTGGTTTGTCAACGTTTATCAATATCACTTTATTTTTATTTTAGCTACGCACCGAAGCTATAATTGCATATCGTTAACACCAGCTGTTAATGTTTACCTACTTAATATTAAGAGATATTATTCCATAAAAAATTGAAACTAATTAAAATATTTTTAAAAAGTTATACCTAGCGAGCTATTATTTGAAACTCAATCTGGTTTTTGCCTTTACTAAAAATACAATAACAATCAAATTATTGTCATGACAATACTTTTATCGATATTTTTTTATTGAAGCGTTTGTTTGAAAGTGATTTGATATGGCAAATATTAAATATTTTATTATTCTTAAATAAAACCTTCAATGAAATTATTAATTTTGCAATACAATATTATCTCAGTTAATTTTAATTTTTTTTCAATTTAATAAAAAAAGAAGGCATTTTATTTTTATATTTAAAAATAGAAGTTAAATTTGAAATTATCTTAGACTGTTAAAATGTTAACATGTTTTTATTATTTTTTTGTTTTCAAAACTTGGAAGGAACTTCCCATCATTATTGGGGGGGGGGGAGGGATATCTTTAAGTGTCTATAAAATATGTTTTGACTCGCGAAAAATCCTTTCACCTATAAAATAACATTTTTCGGTTGGCCATTGACTTCATTGGTAGAGACAGATTTTGATTCATTTTTTACTGTTGCCGTCGTTGTGATCTCCGCTTTGATTATTACACTGAAAACAAACAATGAACATTTCTTTAACTTTTTTCCTGGTATTTTTCCAAAAGTATTTTTTTTATAACAATATACTACCTGTTGAAATTGTTACCACCACTTGTTGGGCCGTTGTCCACACCTGCAGCTGTTGCTTGAGGATTGCCAAATTGTCTTTCATAATCTCTTACTATTACCGACCGTTTGTTATCCGTTTGTTCAAAGCTAAACAAAATATAAATTGGGTGTTTAGAAAAAAAATGCCTTTTCGTGACAGAGAAAATCATATTAGAATATATTTATATATAAGAATTTTTTTAAATTAATTTATACTGCAATTTGTGCTATAAACCCCACGGTTTGTATTGCTCTTAACTGTTTTAGTTTTTCAAATTATTATTATTATACATTTTTTTTAAGATAACCATTTTATTATGAATAATTTGCTGAAAATGCTGACTGGTCCACAACCAGTTTTGGGTAATTACTTTTAATGTTATTTTAGTTTAAAGTATAGGATAGAAGGTGCTTACTTTACCGCACCCCACTTCCCGTCTTAAACTTAAACCTTTAATAATAACTATAAAAGTAATTATCCAAAACTGTATAACTATAGGGGCAACGTTTTGTATTATATATTATAAAATATATAATATATTATTATTATTTATTTTGTATTTTTAGGGACATCTGCATTCTAATAATAGACTAATAATCCATTTAAATGACACTGAAAAGCTATACTAAAAAACCGTATTTAATTCTCTCAGTTTAAATTTTGAATAATTTTGAAATCTAATTTTTGTATATTACAAACAAAATGTACATAAAGTACTTAATATATAGAATATATATATTTATATATTATATAACATAAAGAGTATGGACTATGGAGTGTTACGATTTCTAAATATAAATTTTACATCAGGCTATCTATAAACCGTATTACAATACAATAGTTTCTTATTATTGGCATATGTTCATATGCATAAAAATAAATAAATATTTTTAATTAATAATCAATTTTAAAATACAAATTTACACATATTATAAATAATTATAAAAATCAACTAACATGTTATAATAAAAAATAAAAATAGTAACAATAATTTTTACCATAATGCATGGGTCGATTATGAAAATTAAAAATTACATTAAACAAATATAAAAACTAAATATCTCAAGTGATCTGTCGAAAATATAAATGGAACAAGACATAGTTATGTCAATGGTCTCTTAAACGATATTAAAAATATATTAAATCTGAATTAAATCGTTAGTAAAACAAAAAAAATTATAAAATAATAACAAATAGATTTTGAAAAACTATTTAAAAACTGCCAAATAGTCCAAACGTGAAGTTTATGGGGCTATGAGCCGTGTGCTTTTGCTTGATGACTTTTGAGAGTATCTCGGCGACCATTTGTCACAGGTTGAGCATTTGTTTGGTATTCCACCAATATGTATGCGTCCATGAGTATTGAGAGAAGACCTTTAAAAGGCTTCTCTCGAGTATATATCCTTTTTTGAGTCTCAAGATTATGTTGTAGACTGAATGTTTTTTCACAGACATTGCATTCAAAAGGACTTCTCGCCGGTGTGTATACGTGCAAGTTTCTTGAGATCAGATAGTTGATCGAAGAGTTTTTTTACAGACATAGCACTTACAGGGTTTCACACCGGTACTCATAAAAGGACACATACCGGCGAGAGACCCTATAAATACGATGTCTGGGAATATAGTTTTTACCATCGAAAATCAAACTTAAATCAAAATAAATAAATATTTTAAACAATAATTCATTTTAAAATACAAATTTACAATTATTATAAATATTTTCTCTTCAAAGCCAACAGTAGTCATAAAAAACAACTAACATGTTATAATATAAAATAAGAAAAGTTACAATATTTTTTACCATAATGCATGAATCAATTAAGAAAATCAAAAATTACATTATACAAATATTAAAACTAAATATCTCATGTGATCTGTCGAAAATATAAATGGAAAACGACATAGTTATGTCAATGATTTGTTAAACGATATTAATAAATAAAAAATTAAAAGAAAACTAATAAAAATATATTAAATCGTAAGTAAAAAAAAAAGAATTACAAAACATTAGCAAATAGATTTTGAAAAACTATTTAAAAACTGCCAAATAGTCCAAACGAGAAGTTTATGAGTTTACAAAATGAAATGCACATAAGGCATAATGTTGTTAATGTGTTATGAAAATATTAAAGTACAATACAAGAACTGCATGAAGAAAATGTTCGAAAAGAAGGTAAAAGTATACAAAAATACAAGATAATAACAAATTGATTTTGAAAAACTATTTTAAAACTGCCAAATAGTCCAATTGTAAAGTTTATGGAGCTGTGAGCCGTGTGTTTTTGCTTGATGACTTTTGAGAGTATCTTGGCGACCATAAGATGTATCAGATAGTTGATTGAAGGTTTTTTCACAGACATCGTATTTGAAAGATGACTTGCCGGTATTCATAAAGCAATACATACCTACAAAACAACTTTCCAATGCAATGTTTGTGAATATAGTTTTTTTACCATTGAAAATGTATTTTAAATTAAATAGAAATTTTAATGAAATACACTATAATTGTCTAACTTTTTTTTTTAATGATTATTCTTCGACATTTAGGTCATAAGCCATAACATTTTTTATTCTGAACAAAACTATTAACTTGCAATATTATGTTTTCTCATCTATAATCATGTTGTTGGGGTCGATGTTAGTTTTTCTCTAACATTAAACTTATATTACGAACCACTTGCTCATATAATAATAGATTGATTTACATCTACATCTACCTCTTATCAATTTAATGTTAAAACTTAATAAATAAATATTTTGTTTTGTCCTCAACTCACTTTAAGGGTTTTCGCGATTAGGAACCGGTTGACGGTTGTCCACTTTGGCCGAATCGTTTAGGGGCAACGTTTTGTGTTTAACTATGATCACCAATTTGTTGTTCAATTCTCCGACGCTAAAAAAAAAAAAAATTTTAATACGAAAGATTTTAAAATTTTAACAATAATTATTTAACATCACATTGTCAGTCGAATTTTTATTTTCGACTAGTATTTGGTAG